CAAAAACAAAGCCAAAATCAACTTAACTGACAGCTTATCAGGTAGTATACTAATTATAGTATACTAACTATAGTCTACATTTTTTCAGTATGCTATAGAAATGGTTCCCAGAATACACATTTTTTCCTCCAAGTATACATGGAATGTTTGCCAAAATAGAATATTTGGAACTGTAAAATAAGACTCGGTATATTTCAAAAGGCTGAAATTTTACAGATTACTATAAGGTCCAAAGTCTTTAGACCAAATGACCCATTATGTAGATCAATTGCATTAGACATCTTTTCCATCTCTCCCTGCATCCCTGGCCTTTTCTATGTACCTCGGCAGTGCTATGACTAAAAAGGAGTTGTCTATTTATACACCTATATTATAGGGCAGCCTTGAAACTTTCTTAGATCAATAGACTGTGGCAGCACTTCCAATGTATTGGTTCTGAGGCTAAACCTCCAGGAAACCTTTCATGCTTCTGCTTAAATTCCTGCCCTCTGTCTTTGCCAGGACATGCCCAGGTTAGCTCATTGATCCTTGGATGAAGTGAGAATTATCTGGAGCACAGCAGTCACCTCAGTCATACCAATTAGGGCCATCCTAGATCAGCAACAGCCATCCAACTCAGGACTTGTGAGCACATGCAGAGGAGATGGTAGTCATCTAGCCAACCTGGGGGCTGACCACAGACACATAAACAAGTCCAGCCTAGAGCAGCTGAACCCCACGGACTTGTAGGATAAATAAATGTTTATTATTGCATACCTCTGAGATTTTGTGTGTGTTTGCTTATTATACAGTGTTAATGTGGCAATAGATAACTGATAGACTTTGGCTTCTTCCTATATCAAGGAACGATTTATGTGCTACAGTGCTCCCTGTGGCTCACTCTAGCTATACTGGCATCCTTGCCATTAGTCAAACAAGCTAGGGATATTCATTCCTCAGGGCACTTGTTCTTTCTGGAATGGTCTTCCTTTAGGCATGTGCATGAACAAGAGTTTTAGATTGGCTGGTTGCTCAACCTCTGTGAGGAGAAAGTAACAACAGAGAATAACACAGTTAGGCCCTCTCCTAATGGAAAGAAATAGAGCCTGTTCCATTGTGGGGGAAGGATGACACATACCAAAGTAGAAGAGGAAACCTCCTGGACAATGAACCTATGCCCTTAGCTTAACATGTACGGGTAAAGGGAAGGATTCCACAAAGAAGTAATCAAAGAAGAGGATGCCGAAAATACTGTAGTCTCTTGAAAAGAGAATGTTCATGATTTTCTCAATAGGATTCAGAAGTTAGGCTGGACGAGAGTAACAGTGAAAGTTGTTATCTCAATTGACTGATAGGCTATCTAACTAGGCAGAAAGAAGACCATGTTAACAGACTGGATAACTGCCTGTGGAGAGTGTGGTGCAAGAGGATGGTAAGGGTAAAAAGCCTCGGCTTTATTTATTTATTTATTTATTTATTATATTGGGAATTGAAACCAGGGCCTTCACACTGAGCTACATGCCCAGCCCTTTTTCAGATGTTATTTTGAGACAGTTTGAGACAGGGCCCACTAAAGTTGCTGAGGCTGGACTCAAACTTGCGATCCTCCTGCCGCAGCCTCGCAGGGTCTTGGGATTTTAGGAGTGTGTCTCCAAATGCAGCTACACCATTGACTTTTAGTCCTGGCTCAACACATCATGAGTTTGTTTTGTGACAGTTGATTATTAAAACTTCAATTTAATAATTTGTAAGATGGGGCTATAATAAATATTTCGATTGGTGGAGGTAAGATTTCAAGATTGAAGATTTGAATAATCTATCTATCTATGAAAACTCTTCACTAAGTTGTAGCTGTTACCTTCGTTTACTTATTTTTCTTGTTATTTCTGTTTTCTAGAGCATGGAACTGTAGGGTCTACTGACAAGATAAATATATAGTATGTAGTCCTATGCTCTGAGAAGTTAGTGGGAAGGGGGTTATGTTTGGGTGAATAAGACATAAAGAAGCAAAACAAAAAAATTAGTGTCAGTGAAAGGAAATCCAAAGCATTTGCTCTGAAATATTTGCTTCACTTTTTAACAAAATACCATTATCTACACTGTAACATTGAACAGCTCTCATCTGGGTTATATCAATTTTTGATAGGATTCTATTTTTGAAATATTCATGGGGGTGTACTATGGAATTTACATCCTATGACATGAACTCCAACATAAGTAAAACAGATGAGACAAATATGGAAAAATATTAACATTTATTGAATTTGGGGAATAAGTATGTAGGATTCATTATTTTATTCTCTATAAAGTTATTAGAAATATTTAAAAATATTAACAATGAAAATTAAATTTACTTAATAACCCAAATGACCCCACTTTCTGCTTATCTCTTCCCTTCCCTGTTTCTTCTCTTCCTTATATTTTCAACCCATGCAACTCCAGATGACACTGAGTAAGAAGTGTCAATTGTGAAGCTCTGTGCGGGGCACAGGCCTGTAATCCCAGCATTTGGGAGGCTAAGGCAGGAGGATTTTGAGTTGGAGCCCAATGTGTGAGCAACACAGTGAGATTGGTCTCAAAAACCAAAATAAAATGAAACAAAAGTATCAATTGTGCAGAAGACCAAATAATTTTATTCTTCCTTAATTGCTGCTTCTAAGTATCAGAGGTGGTCCAGTTCCAGTTTCTGGATAGTTGGCAAGCAGGTGTTTGTTCACTTTACTCTCCCTTCATACTTTGACAGCCACTTCCTGTGTCCCTTTGTGGTGCTGGTCTTTCTGATGGACGACCCTGATCCTCTTAATCCTGGCTGCTCTGGCAGAAGCTCCCTCTGCTCAGTGATTGCAACTGACTTTCTCTAGACCCTACACAGCTCTGCTCTGCCTCTCTGGAGCGGTCATGACCAGGACTGATCTACACAGGACAACCAGAAACAACATTTCAGTGAAGAGACTATAGGGAGGGAAAGAAAATTGGGAAAATTGGAAGCTAACACTAAGAGAGATCATAAAGAAAGAGCATTGTGTTAAAATTAAAATTAGGATAGGAAAATGAAGATTAGCCTTAGTCTAATAGTTGACAGGGTGGAGTTGGGAAAACCCTCAATTTTAAAGAAGGGTTAATTCTATTATTTCTAAGCTGCAAAACTGTCAAATGTGGTCATCACCTACAGAATAAAATCAGACTCACCACCACTGCCCATGAGCTGAGCCTTGTCCATCTCTCCCACTCTCCTTATCGGTGCCAGCCACACAGATGCTGACATTTCCTCCTGCTCGACTGGCCCCTCTCACCTGCTGTATCATAAGCATTACCTAGGTTTCTGTGAACACACAGCACAGAGTTGTTCACCTTTTCCACATCATTGTATCATTCGATAGGAAGCTCTATAAGGGAGAAAGACTTGGAATGTCAACTGCTGAGCCCTCTTCAACATGAGTGGGTGCCAACAACAGGCTGTATCAATGCATGCATACATCTCAGGGTAAACGTTCTGGAGCTTGGGATGGTGGTACATGCCTGTAATCCCAGGACTCTGGGTGGCCGAGGCATGAGGATCTTAATTTTTTCTCTAATCAACAACAACAGAGTATCTTTTATTTCTATAATATCTTCAGGTAAGAATTATTACCAAGTGAACAATGATGAACTTTGTTTGAAAGTGTCACATGAATGAGGTAAAATAAAATGATTTATATTGTAAAAGGAAAAGCTTAGGCTACCGATAATTATATGGCATTGCAGATATGGGATTAGCCAGTTAGAGGAAGATAAAGAATTTTCTTTGATGAATTTTCTTATTTTTAAAATAGAAAAGTGTATGGGAAGGATAAAGTTTGACAGAAGTTTTGCTTAAAGGGAAGAGAATAGATTATTTGACCTATACAAGGTGAAAAATTTTTAAAAATCAGCCATCACTAGACTTTATTATTTATTACAGCCTACCAGGGTCAGGAGATGGGATTTGATCTCCTCTCTGAGGTCACTACACTGGCTGTAATCCCCGTGCCTTGGCTAAGCCCAGCTGTGCCCAATCCTGCAGTAAGGTGTTTCCTGGGCAGTACAGTCTGGGGAAATAGCACTGTCAGGCCTTGGAAAACATGTGACAACAAAGTCAAACTACACGAGTTCAGTCAGGTTCATGGCCAACTTAATTTCCCCTGCTCCTTCCTTCTTTCTATCTGTATAAACCAGGAAAGTGGCACCTTGACCAGGAAGAGTAGAGAGGAAAACCCATGAAATCAGAGAGAGAGGGGTGGATCATCAAATCCAAACATGATCACAACTCATAAAAACATGACCTGGTTATAGCATTATCTTAATCATGTTTGCCTACTTCTAAGTTCAGCAAAATGTATAAAATTTCCCCACATTTGTTCATTTTTTAAAGAACCAAGTTAAGAATGGCTAATGTAATCTTGTAATGACAGGTATTACTTTGATGTTAACTTTAAATCCATAGTTTGGAAAACAGGTTTCCGCTAGTTGAAGGAGCAGTATGTTTTGAACAATTTTCTGAAAGGAATTTTAAGTATCTGTACATAATCATTGCTCAGTTAAGCCAGGAATGGATCACTTAGTTTTGTGGTTTCTGGCCTGTTTCAATATTTCGGAACACCTAGATCTGATTAATAAGAAGCTATGCAGGAGAAACAGGTCCATTTGTTGTGTGCTCAACATGCACTGGACATGCTCTAAGTAGATTCGCCAGGATCACTTAGCTAAAAGTTGCCGGGCACGGATTTGAATCGTAGGTGTTTCATTCTAATAGTTGTCTGGATCCTACATTGTAGTTTCCGGTCTTCATGCTGCCACAGATAGATAGGCTGTAAGTGTATGCTACTTCGGCATATTCATTTGCTAAAAATGATCAACACTCTGAAACCCTTGTATTTCATTGTCAGCTGATTTGTTTTGTCAGCACAGGAAACCCTGTTTAGAGTAAACTCCTTGGCTACAGGCTGGACAAGCACGGAGTCATCCACAGAACAGAACATCTCCTATCGGTCAGTTTGACTTGCCTGGTGTGAAGAGGGCTCCTCCTTTGGATTTTCATCCAGGTCCACACCAACTCTGATAAAGACAACAGAACATTGGTAAATACTCTGCTGTAGGAGGGATGAGTCAATCTTGTGTTTCAGGTCACATGATGCACATTTGAGGACAACAGACATGGCTGAAAATCTTCCTACAAGAAGCTCAAATGGATCAATACAGTTGGAGAGACAGGGCACCAACAGCAATTCCCAGCAGTTTCCAGCAAGAGCAGGGATGCTGAGAAGCTGGAATGGGAAGCCTAAGGACAAAGACTTCCAGAGCCCGCATAACAGGGATCCTGGGGGGCGGGAACCTGATACTCTCAACGACCCCCTGAGCAAACTCTCCCAGGACTTTGGGTGCTCAGACTGGAGAGGTTTCCCTGGAGCAGAGAAAAATCAAACCGTTGTCTAAATTTCACCAAGGCTGCCCAGAGGGAGGATTCTTATTGTAGGGCCCAAGGCTTATAAAATTTGGGGTTGGTCTCTAAGGAAATAAGTATAAAAATGTGAATGTGAAATTGGGATTGAAAGTGACTTTTTAGAAGGATAGAATAAATTACAAAAATTACATATTTTTAAAGATGGAAAATACAACGTCATCTCAAAATCCAGGAAAAATCCATACAATGTTTTAACTGACTACCTTACACACTTCTAGAATAACTTTTTCCCCTGTAATTTTTGCCTGCGTACTGTGATACTCTCTTTATATGATAATGATTTTGTATTGGAGAGAATAGAAAGATAAGGTAGTCTTTCATCTAGCAGGATTGATCAGAATTATTAATGGCCATGACACATGAAAAGCAAGCTTCTTTACCCATAGCTGCACTTGCTGTGTGCAGTACTGTAATGAGTCATGTTCTGAAAATGCAAGATTTCTGATAAATTTCACTTCATGCAATTTCCATAAACAACAGTACATTTATCAATGTACATGTTTTCTTACTGAATATATTTCTCAATTTCCATTTTGTTGGGGCATCAGTGAAACTGAATTTTACACATATTGCAATTGGAATTATTTTCCACAGATTGGCTTCTGGCTCAGTGCATTTCAAACCTTGTTTTTCCTCTACTACCCATGGACTTGTGATGCCAGGAACCAAAGGACACATTCATATTTAGTTCAGCTTTTGTGCTCTAAGCCTTTCTTACCCAGGGATAGCCGGCAGTCACTTATCCCCTCACAGACATGACTGTGGCTCATATAAATGTATTCCGTTCAATGCAAACTAAATGCATTTCCCAATTAGGCTTCCCCTGAGTTGATCTCCAAAACGCCCTTACCATCTATCTGACCAGAGGAGAAATATGAGAGAGCGGAAGCTGTAGTGGAAAGAAACGGCAGTTAAACCCAACTGTGTTTAAAATATATTCTGCAAATCTTACAAAAACATAGGCTCCTGGGAACACAGTGCTGGGGCTCTTCCCAGGGCCCGGGAAGGGCCAGAGGAAGTAAGGGCCCCTGAAGCTTGATCTTCTCTCCTCCCAAAGAGTGGGCCTCTCACTGGGGGTGGGGTGGAGGAGGGACTTGGAGTGCCTGGTGCCTGGCCCAAACTCCAGCAGAGCCCTTCCTGTGAGGGCCACCTTTGCTAGATATTTAGGGTCTTGTCTTCAACTTCTGACCCTCTCAGACACTTCCACAGTCACCCCGAGGCCTGTGCACCAAAGAAGGGGAGGCAAGTTTAGAAGCTGCTAGACGGTGTGTGAGCCTGTCACAGCAAAGACACAGCTTGTTTAAAATATCTCTGATTAGAAAGAAAAATTAGCCTCCCCTGGGCACTGATAGTCCTATCTGTCTAACCAAAAGGACAAAAGGAAGAGGTATTTATTTATTGTATGCTGAACTCTTGGCATTCAGGTACTGAGAAGGTTCTCTGTAGGGGACTAACCTTTGACACTCCGTTAAGTTGAAAAAGCTATTTTAACTTTTTCATTTAAGAAGGAGGAACAGACAGGGAGAGAAGAGAAACGAAAAGAGGAGGGGGAGGCAAAGCGGGGGAGGGAGAATGGAAGGGACAGGAGAGAAGGGAAAGAGAGGAAGAAGTGGGTGGGAGTAGAAGGCAGCTAAGGTCGGGTCTACCCAGCCCAGGCACCCATGGGTGCAGGTGGCCAGAGTCCCACAGCGGGGCCCGTGTGTGGAGGCTCGCACTCACTCGTGGGAGTAGGCTACCCTCATATCTGTTTAATGGAGTCCGGCCCTGTGGAAGATGATGGGAACCCCTCGTCAGGCCTCACTGCGGAAATAGCTCGTAACCACTCCCCTCCCAAGAGCGACTGGGCATCCAGCTGGCCCGTGAACTGAACTGACGCTCCCGAAGCGCCTTGCTTGAGGCCATTTTCTAGTTCTCTGTCTAGAAAACTGGAGGGAACAGGCATTACATTTCCTAAGACACCCAGCAATTAAAGTTTGAGGCAGTACTGAGGTTTCCCACTAAAATTTAAGCTTCCCTCTCCAGCAGCAATCAAAGCAGGCTTTTTAAATTCCAATTATTCTAGCAGCCAGATGGAACTGAGGAATGATGGCAGCGTATTAAGTTCTTCAGCTTCCTGTGTGCAAAGCATCTTGGAGGCCTAGCTGGGAACAAGTCTGTACTGCCTCCCTCAGCCCATTGCCCCACAGCTAGGATCTACTCCTAGCCAGTCTGGCAATTACTGGCCTGTTGTAGTGCGGGCATTGCAAGGGGCTGGAGGAAAGAGAACCTCTGTGAGAGTTACTTGCTTCCTGGGACAGTGAAGGGAAGCAGAGCAGACATGGTCCCAGCCCTCACACACATTCAGTTTGGGAAGCTTAATAGAAATAAAATGAAAAACTGCCATGGCTTAAATGCTATGGAGGAAAAAAAAAAGTGCACAAGAGAAGCATATAGGAATGATGCCTCTTTCCCTTGAAATTTTTGGAACTCTTGATAAATATCTTCCTAAAATATGTTGTTTGGCTTCCTGATGCCTAAAACACAGTGTGATGGGGTATTCTCATCATATGTGGAGGTCTCAACATCTCCAATGGTCCCATAAAGTGTAACACTCGCATTATAGTGATTTCTGAGAGGTGTTCGAACCTCTTTATGACCACATTAAGCTGTTCCCTGGCTACTACCATTTTTCATTTTTAATTCTTGTATCTGCCAGTTAGACACCCTTGATTTTTTTTTCAGCTTTAATTGAGTTTATTGGTACATTTTAGGGATACAGTACAGTTACATTCATTGTTGGGATCTTGTTCCTCTACATGACAAGTCTTGATTCTCATTTTTTCCCCTTACCTCTGCCCTCCCTTCACCCCCTCCTCCCCTCCCCATCTACAAACACTTTATTTTCATCTTTTCATTCTCTCA